CGCCCCTGCCCGTGTGGGCCCGCCGGGGGCTTCCCCCCCGGGCGGGAGCTGGCGGCGAGGAAGGCAGCATGTGCCTGCTGGGGCGGCTTCCTGCCTCAGTGAATAAGCCCCCGCGCCACCCGGCCATCACCACACTTACCGTGTGTCAGTGTTCCCGGATCAAGACCCCCGACTCGCCACGCTGGGCAGCCCCAGGAGACCCTGAGACAGCGAGCGGGCGGGGGGCTGGCCACGCGGTGGAAGTGGCGGGTGCACATGGTCTCGTGCGTGGCACAGCCAGATGCGGCTCCCGGGAGGCCAGAACTGGGACTTGGCTGAGAGTGGGAAGGAGAACGCCCCACTGCGAGCGAGGTGAGCGCGTTCTGAGAATCGACACGGAGAGGTAGTTTTCTTTTGGCCAGCCTCACCTGTCATCTCCCCTGGCCTCTGTGGAAGCAGTAGCAGAAAGCGAGAGCTGCTCGCTCTATGGTGCCTGTTAAGGATGTTTGGAAGCAATTTACAGTTACGCTAATACTTCGTTCTGGAGAGCCAGGGCAAGGGGGAAAGAAGGGCCTCCTCCCTCTGCTAGAGTTCCCCGTCTCTTTGTAACTCCGATCTTGAGATTTATGGGAAAAGGGGGAGGAGGGTGGAGAGGCTAGGGATTAGATTGGTGTTACTGTCTATATATAGCCTTAGATTAGCCTCTTAATCCAACCTTCATTCAACTGTAATAAGTTGCCTTGAGCTTCGTTCATAGGTAGATAGGGGTAAATACAAGTGTCTAACCCCCTACCCCCAGCCTGTGGCTCAGAAACAAGACTTGCTAAAATATGAAGTCAGTCGTCCCTCTTCCCGTGCACCTACGTAGCTACATCAATGAAAGCTTCCTTAGAATTTAGTGTTTACATTTGAGCATTGCTTCTCTATAGACTAGTATGGATGTTTCTCTCAAGACCCATCTGCGTCAAAGAGAAATATTTGGATAATTATGTAGCCGGCTTTTAACATGTTAGGTATCCTCAGGACTCTTTCTTCCCACAATGCCATATATATCAAGTGAAATGCATTTTCCTCTGGCTTTATGCCTTCATTTTCCTTGAAGCATTCACTAACACTTCTGAAACCTGGGGAAGATATTCCTCATTATTTCCTGCTTTTAATCAAAATCTTTCCTAAACTCCAGCTGTCTTCCATTCCCCCCCAAGGCGGTAGCTTTAGAAGCTGGGGCAGATCTGAGCTGGCACATCTCACATGAAAATGGTTCGAAATTATTCATCTCCATGTATAACAAAGAAACTTTTGTTTGATGATGCTTTAATAATGATGTGACTGTTCAAACAAGTAGGGAGGCTTTTGAGAGTGACCGATCTTCTGTAACACTTAGAAAGCTGTTGCTGCCACAGTTGTGATTGCTTTGTAACACGGTGGCATACAGAAGGAACCTACAAACCTAACAAAATGCGTGAGGAGTAACCTCCCGGAACGTGTGATGTAACGTTTTACCAGCCAGTGCATAAGCAGAATTCGGTCCTTCACTGCCAGCATTTCCATCTCTTATGCCAAATCGGGGCCATGGTTACTTGAAGGTCACACCTGTTCGTCTCCCTGGGGTTGTCAGTTCCTCGAGTATTAGCAACTTATTATCTGTTTTCTTGCTGTTTTATGACACCTGAGTGGTATTTAGTCCAGCATGAATACATGACTTCAATAAATTTAGAGCCAATGACGATTACAAATAAAAACTGACATCTACCTGGAAATGCAGACAAATCATATGATCAGTTTGAATTTCTAGAAACAGATAACATAAAGATTATGTTTGTTAGATGATTACCTTAATAGTTCTGTGCAGCATAAATATTTAATGTAGGAATAAGATTAGCTAATAAGCACATTAAAGTGTAGTCGCATCTAAGTTTTATTTATAATAAAATAGCTACTACATTTTGAATATTTATTTATTCAGTACCAAATAGTCTACCAGATGCTTTGCATAGGATTATTTCGATCATTATTATAACAATCCAAGAATTAGCCAATGTCATCCCCATTTCTGCAAATAAGACAGAAACTTAGGGAGGTTAACTAATTTGCCCACAACCCCCCTCGCCCCCCCCCCTTAGGAAGTATCAGAGACAATTAGAACTTAGATGGGTTGATCTGTAGCTCAAGCTTTTCTTCTTTTTACTACTCTCTGCCCATGTATCTGGCAGTAAGGGGAAATTACAAATTCTTTTAACTAGCCAAGAGATAATAAATTCATGCAGTTCAGCATGCCAAAGGTACAACAGTCTCCCTCCCACCTCTTTCCCCAGTCCCTTCATGCCCCACAACCAATGGTATTCATTCCTATCCTTCCTAGGATACTTTCTGTGTTTACAGCTTATTTGTATCTTTCAACTCCTATGCACACATGTATTTCTTATTTTTTTTACAAAAATAGGAAGACACTGTTGTGTAATAATAGCATTTGTACGGTGCTTTTGGTTTCTTGTCTGATTCTTCATGTTTTTAAAATTTCTGAAATGTCTGAGATAGTCTTGTATGTGCTCTCTTATCTCTTTGTCCTAACACCACCCTAGACCTCCCCTGGCCTATTGCAGTAGACTCCTAAGTAACCTGCTTCTCTTTCACTTCGCTTTGTCCAGCTAATTCAAGGAAGTCCCTGTTCAATAAATATTGAGTACCCATCCTGTTAATGGTTGTCTACTGGCCGCAGACTGGAGGTCCAGGTCTGGCCTGGGAAGGCTCCAACTTGTGGTCCCAGCAGGCATTTCCAGCCTGCCAGGCCTTCCCACACACTCTTCTCTAAGGTCACCTCATAGCGGGTACCCTAACCTGCTGGGAATTTCCACCCCTTTGTTCTGCTCTTTTGCTTTTCTCTTCCTGGCATGACCTGCCTTCTCTCTTCACTGAGTCTCTCACCTGATGAACTGCTCAACTTTCAAGGCACTGCATAAACATCGTTTCTGCTCATCGGCTTTCATGGTCACCTTTCCACCCTGTCCAGTTCAGCAAGGGGAGTACCTGGTTCTCAGGAAAGAGGGATACAGAAAATCTTTTCATGGGGATGGTATTGATATACAACCTGGTTGCTGGTACTTTGATTGCAATCTTCTAATTCCCTCCTTTCTTTTTATGGACCCTAGTCATTTCCCTCTTAACCTCCATCCTCCCTGAATGAACGTCATTGCTTCTTCATCTTTCAAATCACATTCTCTTATGGTTATTATTATTAATAAACTGTTTGGCCTCTTCTTGTTCTAGACTATCACTGAACTAGGTCAAATTTACCTTGTTTCTCAAGATTTAACCTAGCATTGTGTACGTCGTGTATGCTCGCGACATGCTGAGTTGAATTCAACTTGATCTCCAAGTTATTTTAGGTGGATTTGTTTTCCTACTTGACTAATCCTTCCTGGCAATGTGAGGGGATGTGGCACTAAACACACACAGCCATAACCAGGCGCAGAAAGTCTTTAAATGTTTTGAGTCTCGAGCTTCTTAACATTCTGACGAATACTATCTACTGAGAAAGAAATGTTTGCATTCACATGTTGCATATGTTGCATGTGGCTCCTGGACTTCCTTAGCAAAGCCCCTGAGCTCCAGCTCTCTGCTGTAAGAAAATGCTGTTTCCCTTTTATTGCAGGAGGATCATTTGGTT